CATCTTCTTTAATTAATAATTAAAAATCTATGTTTGAGGCCAAAACGAACTATAAAATATAGTGAGATTATAGTTATTTCAACTATTTTTTTCTCTCAGTGCATATTTCACTACTTTGACCCTTTATATCTTGGGAAATATTGACTTTTGGGACTTGGTGCAATGATAACTTTTTATCAGCCTGGCGAAAACTATAACATAGTGAAATTTCAGCCAATTTGACCGAAAACCATTTTCTATAGGTTTTGTGCGGGGTCCTTTCCATCACTTTGTGTGGGAACAAAAATTTATATAAATCAAGAAAAGATCGTATTCTTTAAATATTTCGAGTCGCGGCGCGGAAGCTTCATTACGAATTAATCAAAACGGATTTCTCCGTCGACGATTTATTTCCTTATAGCTTAATTCGCGCGCAGAAAAAAAAGGAACAAGAAGATCTCATATTTTTCAATCGCTTGTGACTCAGATTTATCGAGCGCCCCCCCCCCCACTTCCCTTATCTTTCCCACCAAGTTGGCGTGCGCATATATGTATATGTCTCTTGTATCTGAATTTTGAAAATGAAATTACACCTCGCACTGCGCGTACACAGACCGCGCGCGACCCACATACACCAACGCGCACCCACACGACAGCCGCGCGCAAAAGCACACGTGCACACACGTAAGATGCGCGTCGGTCCCGTGTGTGTATCGGTCACACACAAATTCGGGATGCGGGATAAAAAACACAGGAAATGCATTCGCCGGCCCGGCTAATGATGACGAATGGCGCGCGATATTATCACGGCGTCATGTGCCGTTGGCGAAAAACCATTCGTTCATATTAGGAGGTTGATTTGGATTTAATGGGCGCATCGTTTGCTCAGTTTAGCCGCGCTTTCGTCGCGCTTTTCGACCAACTTTTGCCAATTCATTAGCAATTACGTCGCGTGTACAATTTGTAAAGCGTTACATGTGCTTCCCGCGCGCCACACGCGAAATCCCTGAGAAAGCGCCCTTAATCTTAATAACGAATTTTCGCGTCGATTTTGTGTGTGCAGGAGAGACTGGGACTTAGATGCCCTACACTGTAAAAACTGATGTGTTAAATTTAACACATTTCGTGTGTCCCAAATCATCCACTCTCATTTATGTGTACATTTAACACAAAACAAATGTGTTAAAAAAGTAACACGCATAATATGGAAAAAATTAACACAAGAATTTAACACTTGAATATCGTTAGGAATCACAGATTGTTAAATTGACATATTAAATATGTCAGATATAGATTATGTCAATTTAACATTTTCATCAAAATCGTAGATTAATACTTTTCTCACACGTTAAAGTAACGTTTTATTTTAGTTAATATAACATTATACATATGTCAATTTAATACAAACTGCGATTCTTGACGATATTCAAGTGTTAAATTCTTTACATATTATGCGTGTTACTTTTTACCATATTTGTTTTGTGTTAAATTTACACATAAATGAGAGTGGATGATTTGGGACACATAATATGTTAAATTTAACACATCAGTTTTTACAGTGTACATTTTAGAATTTCGAAATTACAACTTCTCAGGCAACTAATTGTTGTGACTGACTGTATAAACATAATAGAGGCGATCTTCTTCTATGCATTAATATGCCCACCATGACGCTGTTAACCGTATATTTTGTTTTGTGATAACCAAATTAGCCATTTTTCCCTGGTACCGAGTTCAGTTGCTCGGTAGCGCGGGATAACAAGGCCACATATAAGATACGTATCTTGATTAGTGGTTCCGGAGTCTCCGCGAAAGGCCTTCACGGTCCTTCTGCCCGGCTATTAAATATGGGCCAACTTTAATTCGTTCGTCTGTATGCTCTATTTCAATCATTTTGTGAGTGA